CGGGTCTTGCAGAACTTAGCTCCGAATCGTCCACTTCATTGCAGTCTTCTAGGCACTGAAATCGGTTTTGTAACTCGAGCTGAAAGGTTTCGGGACTTTGGATTAGAGCACGAGGGGGACGGAGCGTTGACTTCATTAGACGTGACCTGTCCAACTTAACGTTTAGGTTCAGTGTGCCTCTAACCATTCGGTGATCGCTGCCGGTTTTCACCCTTGCGATCACTGAGACATCACTGAACAGTTGTCGTCTGGTCGTCATAATGAAGTCAATCTAATTTTTTGTCGAACCGTCGGGGCTCGACCAGGTCCACTTCCTGTGGGGCCGCTTCTGGAAGAAAGAGTTCATCATAAAGAGTCCCTCTTTCTCCATGAAGTCGGCCAGCTGCTGGCCCCTTGGGTTCCGTTGCCCTATTCCAAATTTTCCCACTTTCAGCTCATCGTTCTCTCTTGTGCCTAGTTTTGCATTGAAGTCTCCCATTAACACCGTATATTGGATTTTGGAGGAATGCATGGCTCTAGAGATATCCTCATACATTTCCTCCACCTCCTGATCGGGGTGTGCCGAGGTTGGTGCGTAAACCTGTATGACCTTCAGCGAATACCGTTTGGTGATTCTGAGTATAAGGTACGCAACCCTCGTCGACACACTCAATCTTTACAACGTTGTTAACGAGAGACTTGTGGACGATAAATCCGACACCTCCTTGGGACAGATGGTCGCCCTCCCGGTAATAGAGCAAGTTGCCGGATTCGAGGATTACCGTGTCCTCCCCCTCTCTTCGGACTTCGGATAATCCTATAATATGCCAGCGTAACTTGTCCATCTCTTCTTCCAGCTCCACAATCTTCTCGTCAGTCCTCAGGGTGCGTGCGTTGTATGTTGCCAGGTCGAGTCGTCGTAGGTGGCAACCGAACCGCCACCGAAGATTCTTAGCACCCCCTGCCCCGCCGTTACCATGGTCGCCACCGTAGCCAGGAATAGCGGAGCTGCCGGGGACTGGGGGCCGTCTCTTCGTAACTTTCATGGGGGGTATATTGCCATAGTTGCCACGCTTGGTGAGCGGGTTGGCAACCGCAGTTTTTTTATTGTATTTTTGCCGTTACCAGGAAGATGCTGCTGCCCATCTCCTGCCTGTATCCCTTTGTCGCCTTTTACGACACCCACGGGAAGATATGGGGTAGTGGATATTCTTAACCGCCACTACACGGCGTAATTAATTATTAACAACCGACTATTAAATTAAACATTTGAAGCATTTAGTTACTATGCAGTTATCTTTTAAAAATGTTTCAAATGTTTAATTCACAGTTGGTTGTTGATAATTAATCCTAGTACATAAACCGTAATGAATTACGATTAATAGAGGTGAATATGTAGAGGTGCATGTGTTATACGCACGCACACATTCTCACAATATTGTGGCGAAACGACACCAGACGGCGCTAGTACTCCTCGGTTGACAGATTTCGCGCGAGTGGGCTCTCTTTTCCTGTATAGGACAGTTACTATACTCTTTGGAGTATAATAATGCTCTACACACACGCCTGCCGTTCAGTATGCATATGGTAGCATGTTTCTAAACTACCTCCACGATACAGGAGAAAATCCTAGTGTGGGGTAACGTTTTTTTTTAAAAGACTTGTGTTTCACAAACAATTTTCGGCTTGGTAGGGCTCTATAAAGCGAAAAGTTTTTTCATTGGTCATTGTTACTGCCGTTATGTAGACACTAGCGTGCGTATAAAATGCGTGCATATAAAATTTAAGTCAGGTGCGTGCAATCACTCCGGGAGCTCGTAGCAAACTGAACGTGCGCCCAACGTGTGGACGCGACGGCCAATACTCTGCCACAACCCTTTGATCTTTTTCAAAAAACCGACACCACACGGATCTCGCGCCAACTTGTGGGCCATCGTTCCAATACATATCAACGTAGCTTAAACACCCACTCTACACGATGGCCATCGTTGTTGGCCAACACATTCGCCAGTATGTTGGCCAACGTGTAGAGCCGCCGTAAGACTTACACTTCCCTGAGTGAAAAAGAGATATGCAACATATTGACAATTCAATGTCGAATATAATCATATTTGTATAACCAATAAAACATATAGACGCTCTGGGCCTTTGAGCATAGAAAATAGAGGAGCTGCCCAGAGCGTCTATATGTTTTATTGGTTATACAAATATGTTTATATTCGACATTGAACTGCCAATATGCTGCCTATCTCTTTTTCACTCAGGGAAGTGTAAGTCTAAGTGTCATTCATAAATGAAACAGATAATAGAAATTGTTTCGTATTCTGGTAAAGATTTTTAAGATGACGTCATTTAACCCCGCCTTGCGGCCGATTCCGCCATTTATTGTTTCAGATTTGCTGTTATAAAAAGTCCTTTGATATTTCTTAATTTGAAAATTTTGTGAATTTTTAAACAGTTTATAGTGAATTTTCCAATTCATTATAAAATACGAAGATGACTAAGTGTTGTGTAAGAGGCTGTGCCTCAAAATATAGTCAAAAATTACGCGAACTATCATTTCATATGTGAGTGATTTAGTTGTTGCTGTAAATATAATGTAAAAACTTTTGCGACAGTAAGTAGATGGATGTAATTATTTACCCTAAACATTTAATTCATATTATTTAATTACTTCTTATCATTCTTTGCGTATTTATAAAATTTTGTTGTTCGTAAATAGTGATGTTACATTGCTAACAATAAATTCTTTCAAGAACATACTTTATTAAGGTTTTTCTTGATTTATTCTGTCGTATTATGTGAAAAAATTTTGCGTTATGCAATGCATTATTTCGGTGTCATGGGTCTGAGCAGTGAGCATAAATGATTAACTAAATTATACGGAAATGCAAATACCTCTGAGACTATGGACATTATTACTTCACTTTATTATATATTGTTTAATTATATATTGTATATATTAGCCCATCCGTGCCTTCAAATATTGCGATATACATAAAAAATAAATGTTAAGCATATTTTTATCTAATGGTGTTGTTTAATTTGTAATATTATTTGCAGCTTCATAGATCTAAATCATTATTTTCTGTTCTATCATTTTTAGAAAGTCGTTTAATAACGTAATATAAATATAATAAGTAAAAATTATATATAATAAGTACTTTATAAAAATATTACGTTATTAAACTGCTTTCTATTGCTAACAAAAATTTAAATTTATTTATTTTCCTACTCCATCCATCCATCCATTACATTCTAAAAGTTCATTGCCGTACCTAGGTCTCTACTATAGATTGCCTCATAGGGCATTTTGCCACAGCTACCACGCTTGGCAGGCGGTTTAGCATCCGCAAATTTTTATTATTTGATTTTGTTGTCAAAATCCAGAAATCACCCATGCTAAACCGGGTGGATATAAAATAAAAAATATTTCACGGCAAATAATTTATTTGATACGATCATTTGTAACCACAAATGCATCGTAAAGTATAATAATATTAAAACCACAGCGATTCTAAAGTAGTTTTTACTTCAAAAGATATTAGCTTAACCGGCCACACGAAACTGGTGCACAAGCCGGAATAGTAGAAAAAAAATGGTGGGGGGTGCTACTAGCTCAAAAAGAGAACTCCATCCTGTTTAACCATCCTGGCTTTAGATAGTAACTTATTAGCCCAGAAGTAAAGCTTATTCTGTATAATATGAAGTCAGAGCAACTAGTTTGCTAACTTACAACTTACAAGCACGAATTGCTATCCGCGCATTAAGTATCAAAATCGTCTTCAAACTATTATTTAAACGATAAAACTGGAGCAGCAATCATCTGACGGATAAATTCACGCGAAATTCCCCTATCCTCCCTAATCGTTAGAGAAAATATAATTTAGTATATTTAAAAATAAATAAAAATACATATGGGTGTTACTAAATTTTAAATGTTGATTGACTTCACATCACTAAAAAATGGGCGGAGCTTACGGCGTCCGCCATTTATTGTTTCAATTTGACACGATTTTTTTGTAGGCTTGCCATCTCCTCTATTTTCTATGCTCAAAGCTCTGGGCTGCTCCTCTATTTTCTATGCTCAAAGTCTTGCGCGCACTATAGTAGACGAAAGGACGTCAGTTTTCGTATTATGGCAACATAATACACAAAGTGAGATAGAACCGGTTTTGGCGGGAAATTGACCGGCGGCGGTTTGCTGCTCCTGTATTATTGTTTAAATAATGGTTTGAAGTGGACTTTGATATGTAAAAGTGTTGCGATTTTGTGTATTAAGTGTCTACGCATGTGAACTATTAGTGGAAACAGTGAAACAAGTGCTCTGATGGTGATGGATTCTCAAGATAAGCTGTTTGTTTGCATAGGCACCTTTAGATACCATCGCCAACTATCAGCTGTCTGCTGGATCAAGTTGCCGCCAAAATCTCCCAAGAACTGCACAATGTGACGCATCAACATATTGTGAAGCAGTATACTATGAAGGAGTGGGGAAATTACAATAAACCGAATAAAAATACTTAAGACTTGGCCTAAAGGTCTAGATACCAGGCCATAAACTCCAAAAAAAAAATGAGATAGAACCACAGAGTACTTTTATATATATAGGAATAGAGGCTTTACTCAACGGGTTCAGAAGGAAAGCGATTGGTGGCGCCATCTGTAACTACAAACATACAACTTTCCTGCTATATATATAATTATATAAATAGTTATATGTCTACCACCATTCATGCTTTCAGGCAGGTTTTTATTATAAATTCAGTTAATTTATTTTTATTAACCCCGTAATTTACTCATAGACTAACGCGTATGAATAAATTAAGGGATTACTTAAGGCTGCAGAAAATAAAACCCTTATTATTATAATCTTAATAATTTATTTTGCATTGGTATAATAGTCGTCATAGTAGGTCAAAATAAAATATTTTATAGTTATATTTTCTAATACATAACCAGTTTTATTTTATTTAGACATTATCTTAATATTGTGCCAACAATCCATTATTAAGATAATGTCAATTTTTTCTCTTAAAACATCTTTTAAAATACTTTTTTGCTTTGCACTGCATTACGTCCTCGTCACTGTCAATATCTTTTTTACTTATTAATTTATCTTTATGTTCAGAGCATGTTAAAAAATTAAAATCTAAAAATAAAAGAATAATTGTTTTTATGTATTCCCTGAGAGCTTTTTGTTTTAAATTATTACTTAATATTTTATATATAATATCTTGCATGTTAGATATGCATGTTAAAAAATCTGGGCTAGGGCTGGAAAGCCAACGACGATTGGCAAATTCTCTTCTTCTAATAAAATCATTTTCAATTTCGCTATAGAGATTACCCTTACAAATTTCGCAGGACCTAAATATTTTATTTTTCGTTTTTTTTAAAAAATATCCCACTTTTTTATGAATAAATTTTTAGGGAATAGGGAAGGACCACGCTCTCATAGAATACCAGCTTAAAATAGCAGCTTAATGCTGCTGTGTTCGTATGGTGAGTGTAGAGAACCGGAGACCATTTTTACTGGAAAAGAGGCATTCCATCTTAGTCCTCACAGCTGACAACGCATCTGCATTTTAATTCACAAACGATTATAGATGTAGATGTCTATGGGCCACAGCAACCATTTAACATTAGGTGGACCGTGTGCTCGTTTGTCACCCTTATACTATAAAAAAAAATTGAATTGAATTATTTAAAATGTATTGTGCCAAAAATACATTCAGAAAATTATCATTTAGATTTAGATTCTTCGACAATTAATACATCATTATGATATAAATAAGCCAAGCTGGCACGGTAAATATGCCATGCAGTTGTTTTCATTTACGATAATTACATACTTACGACGGCTCCCTGGCACAGTGGCTTAGATGAGTGCTTAGGGTCGCGGGTTCGAATCCCATATTAAATTTGAATCAAATTAACATAGGTTTGTGCTTGTGTAATATTATAATATCTATAAAAATTTATTTATCTGAGCTAAATACAGCTGATCCTTAACACAATAACATCACATTCCTGATCTTACCTGCAAGGTATCCCATAGTGGAAGACACAGTTCTACTGAACACTTGGCTGGCAAATTTAACTTTCATTTTTGTTCTCATCGGATCAACATGACTGTCAGACAATTTGGGCACTAAACGGATTCCTTTATATGCAGGATTTTCTTCATGTAATTGTTTAATGTGATTCCATTTAGCAGTCTTTTCTATATTATCACTTGTATACCTTAAATTCTTCTCTAAAAGATTATTTCGTATACCTTTTAACAAGTGTGGGGGATCATATAGTGGAACAATTTTCTTGTCATTAATTATTATTAATTTCGTCTCTTCTCTAACTTCTTGTCCACTTCTAAGTATATGTACCCTGGTTTCATTTAGGAGAAGATTTAAGGCATTTCTATTATTAGTGCCTTGGTCACATACTGTAGCCACTACATTGAAGCCAGTTTCTTGCAAGTTTTCAATTATGGTTTTAATTTGCAAAGCCAGCTCTGGGCCTTTAGTGGCCGCCTGTGCAAATGTATAAGCAACAGGTTGTTTATATTTCCTTAAGAGACCCCTGATCATAAAAACCTGTGCATGGTCTGCAAATTCAGGTTTTGTCTCGCGTCCATTATTAACAAAACCTACCACCAAATCTTTGCTTTCGTTGTATGTAATGTTAGCTTTTAGTGACATTTCATCAAATATTAATATGCAGAGTTTGTCTGCTGGCTTCATTTTGTTTGCTCTTGCTTTAAGTTGAGCAAAGACATTATTGTTAATACCAGGCTTTATATTAGCCTGGTTCAAAAATGTTGACAGTATTTGCTGCAAAGGCAAAACTAACATTCTTCACAGAAAGCAATAATCTTTGGGGCTTTGCTTCAGCATTGCCAAAGCTAATATTTTTTCTTCAGTAGAAAATCTTCTCCCTTTTTCTTTCTTTTTATATTCTCTGAACTGTAACATAGTTAAAACTTTAGCAGCACTTGGCAAATTGTTAACAGTAGCTATAAAGTTGCTACTCTTCATAAAATTTTTGGCTTCTTTTAATTGTAATGATTGCTTCAGCGCACTGTTCCGGCATTTTGACAATTTATTTCTCATTTTTACCAATTTTTGGTATAAATTACGCTATTTTTTGGTCAATTTTATACGATTCACTACTTTTTTAGTAGTGTTTGGACCTGCAAATAAAATTAAGCTATTAGAAAACAAGCTAAGTTAGGCATTATTATTATTATATTAAAAGGATTATTTAATGATAGTATCTGAAGTTTAACAATTGAAGTGAACAACGTATATATTTGATGATAAATAATGTCATGAACCTGTACATGATCAAATATGATAAATAACAATTAGAAAGATTTTGTTATTGTTGAAAACCGAAACTATGAGAAAGAGAGAAAAATTGTCTAGGAGCTGTCCCCTCGATTCTGACAATAACAAAAACTACATTTTCAGATATGAACCCAGTAATTAACAAATTAAAAAAAAACTTGTAGATATTATCATGAGTGTATTAATACATCTTCCTTGAAATTTTCTTTCTGCAATCTTAAATGATACTAGCTGTGGCCCAGAGTTTTACCAGAGCTTGGTTCCTAGGAGTTGTAGTGTGCAACATATAGAGTACATGATCATACTCTATCTTCAGGTTTCTTTTTTTCTATAAAATTTAAGTAAAGTACACTCACCATATTTATCCTGTAGTGTGCATTCTTGTACTCTAAGATTTTCAACAGTTGCATCTAGTTCAACAGTGGCTGGAATACAAAAGATATCATTAAGTTTATATGATAATAAAAAGGTACAGTAGGTAGTATACCTTTATGTTGTTGATAAGATTGTAAGATGAATAATGTGATTTAGTTTCTGAACTGACATAAAAGAAAAACAACGGGTATAACAATATCATTAAGCAGCAAAAATCATAATAATGTTGAAATTAGCAAACTGCTAGTAGAGAAAAACTTGATTATATATGAACCAACCTTGTAATGGTTTTTCTTTTTCTTTTAATGGTTTTCGGAATTTTGGTAGAGATATTGATCCTGAAACATGAATAATAGAACAATTGTTATAAGTGAATTTGTGTTGCTGTTGCATACAATGTAGCAGTAAATATGTATAAAAAATAAATGCCAATTTGCAGGAAGACCATAATATTGAAATAATTACTTCACACAAAGGTGACATGTATGATAACAAAATTTGCTCGAAATGCTTTTGAAATCAGCTCAGGCTATCCTGCTTATAGTAAAACAAAAGGTGAAAAAATAAGAAAAGCAACCTGAAGCCTTATTAATACATAATTATTAATTAGCACATGCTTTGGCTAAGCATTATTCCAGTCACTGTGGTGCAATTGTCACACTACAAGTGCAAAGTAGACACTGGAATATTCCAGTTTATATACATATTAAATCAAATACAATAATAAGTAACATATGAATCTCGCCCTTATTTATCCAAATCTTAAGTGTAACAAATATTGTCTTCCATTTAAAATTCCAATTCCAATATTTTGAAAAGGAACAGGCCAATTGTGATGAAACTTTTGACACATCAAAATGCCAAATTATAGTAAATGTATAACACGCTTTTTTAATTTAATTTTAATTATGTTCAGAAATGGCAATAATATAACCCTTAAGACACACATACAAAAGCTTATTAAGCTACTAATGTGGTTATATTATTAATAAAACAAATTATATATATAATTATGTTACAGTCAAATCTCTTCTGGTTTCAAAAGCTTTGGACTGGTTTTAGTCAAAACCATGATTAAGTTAAAATGTATGTTGCCGTGTAGTGGCGGTCAAGAATATCCACTACCCCATATCCTCCCGTGGGTGTCGTAAAAGGCGACAAAGGGAAACAGGCAGAAGATGGGCAGCAGCATCTTCCTGATAATAGCCAAAATTATAATAAAAAAACTGCGGTTGCCAACCCGCTCGCCAAGCGTGGCAACTATGGCAAATACCCCCCAATGACTAAAGCAACAAACAGACGGCCCCCAGTCCCCGGCGGCCCCGCTATTCCTGGCTACGGTGGCGACCATGGTAACGGCGGGGCAGGGGGTGCTAAGAATCTCCGGTGGAGGTTCGGTTGCCACCTTAGACGACTCGACCTGGCAACGTACAACGCACGCACCCTGAGGACTGACGAGAAGATCGTGGAGCTGGAAGAAGAGATAGACAAGTTGCGCTGGCATATTATAGGATTATCCGAAGTCCGAAGAGAGGGGGAGGACACGGTAATCCTCGAATCCGGCAACTTGCTCTATCACCGGGAGGGCGACCATCTGTCCCAAGGAGGTGTCGGATTTATCGTCCACAAGTCTCTCGTTAACAACGTTGTAAAGATCGGGAGTGTGTCGACGAGGGTTGCGTACCTTATACTCAGAATCACCAAACGGTATTCGCTGAAGGTCATACAGGTTTACGCACCAACCTCGGCACACCCCGATCAGGAGGTGGAGGAAATGTATGAGGATATCTCTAGAGCCATGCATTCCTCCAAAACCCAATATACGGTGTTAATGGGAGATTTCAATGCAAAACTAGGCACAAGAGAGAACGGTGAGCTGAAAGTAGGGAAATTTGGAATAGGGCAACGGAACCCAAGGGGCCAGCAGCTGGCCGACTTCATGGAGAAAGAGGGACTCTTTATGATGAACTCTTTCTTCCAGAAGCGGCCCCACAGGAAGTGGACCTGGTCGAGCCCCGACGGTTCGACAAAAAATGAGATTGACTTCATTATGACGACCAGACGACAACTGTTCAGTGATGTCTCCGTGATCGCAAGGGTGAAAACTGGTAGCGATCACCGAATGGTTAGAGGCACATTGAACCTAAACGTTAAGTTGGAGAGGTCTCGTCTAATGAAGTCAACGCTCCGTCCCCCTCGTGCTCTAATCCAAAGTCCCGAAACCTTTCAGCTCGAGTTACAAAACCGTTTTCAGTGCCTAGAAGACTGCAATGAAGTGGACGATATGAATGACAAGCTCGTGGAAACTGTCCATGCGGTCGGAGCTAAGTTCTGCAAGACCCGCCGCAGAAGAACACAAAAACTCTCCGATCACACTCTTAATCTCATGGCTGTTAGACGGGAGATGAAGCTACATTCTTCAACAGACTTGACAGCATATAGGCATCTGAACAGACAGATCTCAAAATGCATGCGGCGGGACTTACGCAACTTCAATACAGCTCGTATTGAAGAAGCGATCGAGCGGAACCAAGGCTCCAAAGTCTTTACCAGAGATCTGTCTGCCAGAAAGAGCCAACTGTCAAAGCTGAAGACAGAATGTGGCAGCATCGTTTCCGGGACACCTGAGATTTTGAGTGAGATTGAGAGGTTCTATGGGCAGCTGTACACGTCATCGTTGGAGCCACACGCAAGTGTGAGTAACGATCCAAGAGCGAGTCTCATCCGACACTATTCCGAAGATATCCCGGACGTCAGTCTGAGCGAGATTAGAATGGCTCTCCAGCACCTTAAAAACGGTAAGGCCCCAGGCAAGGATGGAATTACAGCGGAGCTTCTGAAAGCGGGTGGAAGACCGGTACTTGAAGTCCTTCAGAAGCTCTTTAATTCCGTCCTCCATGGTGGCATTACACCGGAGGCGTGGAGCAGAAGTGCGGTGGTCTTGTTCTTCAAGAAAGGTGACAACGCTCTCTTGAAGAACTACAGACCGATTTCCCTTCTGAGCCGCGTCTACGTGCTGTTTTCGAGAGTCATTACGAATCGTCTCGCGCGCAGACTTGACGACTTCCAGCCTCCCGAACAAGCCGGTTTCCGAAAGGGCTTTAGCACCATAGACCACATACATACCCTTCGGCAAGTTGTACAGAAGTCCGAAGAGTACAATTTGCCACTATGTCTGGCGTATGTGGACTATGAGAAAGCCTTTGATTCCGTCGAAATTTGGGCGGTGCTGCAGTCCCTTCAGCGGTGCCAAGTTGACTGTCGGTATATCGAAGTGTTGAAGTGCTTGTACAGTAGGGCTACGATGGCTATCCGAGTACAGAACCAGAGTACGAAACCTATCCAATTGCAGAGAGGTGTAAGACAGGCTTCTGGACTGGAAAGGGTACGGTATCAACATCAATGGCGAGTACATCACTCACCTCCGATTTGCCGACGATATAGTCCTTATGGCAGAATCGCTGGAGGGCCTAAGCACTATGCTCAATGACCTCAATAGTGTTTCCCAACGGATAGGTCTTAAGATGAACATGGACAAAACAAAGATTATGTTTAATGTCCATGTCACACCTATGCCGGTAGTTGTTGGGAGCACTAAGCTCGAAGTTGTTGACGAGTATGTTTACCTGGGACAAATAGTCCGACTAGGTAAGTCCAACTTCGACCGAGAGGTCAATCGACGGATTCAACTCGGCTGGGCAGCGTTCGGGAAGCTACGACACATCTTCTCGTCAGACATACCTCAAAACCTTAAAACGAAATTGTACAACCAGTGCGTGTTGCCAGTGATGACTTACGGAACTGAGACGTGGTCCTTCACTGCTGGCCGTATGAGGAAGCTCAAGGTCGCTCAGCGAGCTATGGAGAGGGCTATGCTCGGAGTTTCTCTGCGTGATAAACTTAGGAATGAGGATATCCGCAGTAGAACCAGAATAACCGACATAGCCCAACGAATTAGTAAGCTGAAGTGGCAGTGGGCCGGCCATATAGCTCGAAGAACCGACAACCGATGGGGAAGAAAGGTTCTCGAGTGGCAGCCTCGTACCGGTAGGCGAAGTGTAGGGCGTCCCCCCACGAGATGGAGTGACGACCTGGTAAGACAT